ATTGCTTTTGGGTCAGGCTAAATCTCCTAGACCGATATATGGGCTTTGGATAAGCCCGTTAAAATTCGTTGCATAGATAGAATGAGATCCGATTAAGTTTGACGAAGTTACACGGCCCATGCAGCTCCACAAAAGTCCATCATCAGAACCAAAGAAAGAATTAGGGAAAAAGGTCAAAGAAAAACCACAAAATGGAGATGCGGGGGATCGAACCCCGTGCCTCTCGCATGCAAAGCGAGCGCTCTACCATTTGAGCTACATCCCCATTTGGAGATAGTGACGGAATACATTTATTTAGATCTTAAAAGTAGTCAAGATCATATCCCGTCATCGTCTTTGAAGAAGATAGTCAACATTATTAACTCCATTCATTTGGATTTTTCAAGAGAGACATGTATAGGGGATCAGATATGACTTTAGCATTATAATCTATGCATTTTGGGTAATGCTATAGGGATCGATCCGATTGGTCCCTATAGTTTTTTTTTTTTTTCTAAATCTAAAATTTTAAATTTCATTTTTTTATTTTGTAATTTAATTTTTAAATTATTAAACACATGAACTTCTTTTCTTTTTTTTTTTGTAAATTTAAACACATAAACTTTTAATTAAATATCAAATCTTAAACCTTAAAAATATTAATCTTAATACATTAAACACTAAATTTTAAAAAAATTAAACCTTAATATCACAACATATATAGAACTCAAAAAATTTATAACCTTTAATGCCTTAAATACTAAACTCTAGAAGAATCTAGACACAAAATTCTAAAAATTTTAAACCTTACCAACATTAGTTTAAGTTAATATTCACTAAAAAAAAAGGGAATAAAAATAGATTTAAATTGTTAAAAGTAGGAAGTAAATGACAAATTTGTTTTAAAAAAATTTATTTAAAAATAATTTTTTATTATCTTTTTACATAACTTTATATATTATTTAAATAATTAATTTTTTTATTTATTTAAAATATATGATATTAAATATATTTATTTATTCTATAACATATAAAAATTATATAAAAAATAAAATAAAAAATTATCTTTATATCTTTATCTTTTATTTTAAAATGAGAAAAGAAAAACTGTTGGACATGGAATGTGCTACGTCATACGGTTTTTTAAGATTTGGAGTTAAACCATTGGATCTAAAAGTTCGATTCGAAAAGAGAAAAAAAACTGTTGGACGTGGAAGGTGCCACGTCAGACGGCTTTTGACCGGCCTGCTTGGGGTCGGTCCCCCTGGCATTTTCCGTGCATTTTACATCACAAAACAAAAATCAGTGTCCTTTATATACATACCATATATATGCGATTGCTGATAGGATTCACCACTCAGTGGTACTGCCAAGTGCCAACACCACCATATTCATCGGATTTGGCTAAAAAAGTGACATCTCCCTTCAATTTTGACCTCGTTGAATTCATTACTTGAGGATTTTCTCCTAAAACACCGGAAATATGCTTGATTTTATTATGTAGCTAGTGATATGAAATCAATTCATATCCCTCCTTTAATTTAATTAATTAGTAGTTAGTTTTATGATGAGGGGAGAAATGTGTGTTAATTGTTAGTATATGTTAATAACAATGACGTTGTTGAAGGGTCTCTGTCTTTTTTATTGGACCGCATTGAGATGAGAGGAGAGGTGTGGTCTATGCCACGCCACGACGTACACCATCATTTTCCTTCTGCAAACCCTGGAGGAATGAGGACAGCTCCTGTCTGCCCCTTGGTGGACTACAGTCGCTGTCTGCTTTCTTCCCATTTTGGAGTTTTCTTCTTCTCCGCATACGGTTTCAATTTCAATCCATATATTATTAATGTGCACTGCATGCCATTGATAGGCTCCTGCTATTTTCTACTACGACCGTTTGGTTTTGGGTCCATTTGATTTTCTTAGGTACGTGTTCATCAAGCTATAGCTAGCCTTGAGGAAACCAATTGGTTAATGAAGCTAATTATTAAGAAATGGAAAGTGGAAGAAAATAACAAATGTTAATGTAAGAGATAAGCAGGCAGAGGCAGAAGCAGCAGCAGCAGCAACAGGGCGGGCAATTAAAGGTACGTACCTCAGAGACGTGGATGAGGCTGTGTACAGGGATCAGCAGCCAATCACTTTCATGCAGAGGAGCAGCAAATTTGGGTACAGAAATAATGACGTCGAATATATATGTGAACAGTGCGTGCCGATCATGGTGTTGGTGTTGGTGTTGGGTTGGTTTCTTCTTTTTTATCTCCCTTTCCTGTCCTGCTTCTTACATTTTCTTGCACTACTTCTGCAAAATGTCCCCCACAAGCCACAGATAATTGTATTTTCTTTCTCTTTGTAATATGTATATCGAAGAAGTATAGTGAAAGTTTTCCACCGTGGACGGAGTCATTCAATGAGATCATGATTGTAGATTTGAGTTTTAACTCTCAATTTTTTTAAAAATAATTACAAATAACTATTTTCGTTAAAAAAAATAAAAGTATAGTGAAGTTTTGATTATATTAAATTGTATTATATTAATTATTAAATAAAAAATGAATCTTTTTATATTATTTTTTTTTATTTTATAATTTTTATTTTATAATTTAATACAATTTAAATTATAAAATATAATTTTCTATACATATACTCGCTCCCTCCTGAGAATCTCCAGCGTTTGAAATTACTAGTAATAATTTAGATTAACTTGGGGTCTTGAGAACAATACCAACTAATTAATGGGTTTGTCTAACTTGTATTTTTAGAGTATAAGTTAAAATTTATTAATTAAA